GAATGAAAATGATGAAAATTAGGTCCTGTCATCAGATAACAACAGCCCATAAACAACTGACTACCCAAGAGAAACAGAACCAGTTAGTACAAAATGAAAACTGTGATGAAAATTAGGTTCTGCTATCAGATAACAACAGCCCATAAATGAGCCGACTACCCAAGAGAAACAGAACCAGTTAGTACAAAATGAAAACTGTGATGAAAATTAGGTTCTATCATCAGATAACAACAGTCCACAAATGAACTGACTACCCAAGAGAAACAGAACCAGTTAGTACAAAATGAAAATGATGAAAATTAGGTCCTGTCATCAGATAACAACAGTCCACAAATGAACTGACTACCCAAGAGAAACAGAACCAGTTAGTACAAAATGAAAACTGTGATGAACATTAGGTCCTGTCATCAGATAACAATAGCCCATAAATGAACTGACTACCCAAGAGAAACAGAACCAGTTAGTACAAAATGAAAATGATGAAAATTAGGTCCTGTCATCAGATAACAGCAGCCCATAAATGAACTGACTACCCAAGAGAAACAGAACCAGTTAGTACAAAATGAAAACTGTGATGAAAATTAGGTCTTGTCATCAGACTACTCAAGAGAAACAGTACCAGTTAGTTTAAAATAATAATGATAAAAATTAGGTTTTGTCATCAGATAACAACAGCCCATAAATGAACTGACTACCCAAGAGAAACAAAACCAGTTAGTACAAAATAAGCATGATAAAAATTAGATTTTGCCATTAGATAACAAAAGCCCATAAATAAACTGACTACCGAAGAGAAACAGAATAATAAAGCTAAATGATTTCTTTAAATTGAAGTGACCAGAAAACAGAAATACCTCACTGTATTGGGAATAATTTGACTAAAAACAAACTTACCTCAAGTCTAATGTCACTAATATGTAACTTAAGTCCGTAACAGAATTTACAAGGCCATCCGGTGGAATGATATTCTACTGGCGAAGAACATCAGTGATCAAACGAACGTGGAAGCGACGTACACAGTAGCTGGCATCATGTTGAATTCCACTTCGGCATAGGCCGATTTGGCGGGTTCAAGTTCCCGCGTTGCCACGTCTTTCGTCAGGAAACCTCCTAAATATTTCATTTATGGAGAAACCCGTCGGCCGGACTCCACACATTTCTTTTTTGAGTGCATGCCAATGCTTTTGGGGGTTGTAACCCTCGACAGACTCGAAATGGGAAACGAAGACTCATACCGTCGACGGTCGCCTTCACTTCAAATGGTTTCGAAATCAAAACCACAGCGCTTTTGAACTTTGAAAGTCTAAGGTAGAATATTAATTAATTAGTAAGAATTTAACTCGGTTACATCGCATGATCGCTGCCTGACCCTCAAAAACAAAAAAAATCGTACATGTACGCTGCCGTCCATTCATTTGAGCGGCACTGGAAACAAGTTTTTGCGGCGCTTTGTCACACATTTCCACATGAAATACGGGTCGCTCCTTCAAAAATTTTATCAAAGTGACAAAGGAAATATAAAATGCTTTAACGTAATGTCTTTTAACCCTGGCGTGCCCCGTCCAAATCACCGGCAGTCCGATCTGGATTTGTTTATCATGTAAATTACTTTCTACGCGTAGATGACGCGAGCTTTTATTTTTAAGATACATTTCGAATGATCAAAATCTTTTTCATTTTAAACAGAAAGGTCACGCCGCAATAAAACGGTTGCGTGGGATGCTGGCTCCTCGCCTTGCCTCGCGCTCAAATGACGCGTCTCTCGCGGATACTCGGTGTCTGGTTTACTTATTATGTTCCGGTCTGAATTAATTTTATGACACCAAGCAAACACCTTTCTATCGCGTACCAGGGCATCAATTTCCGGCGCCTGCTGAGATTTTTTTTCTTGAGCAAAGCTTCTCATGATAATAGAATTTTTATGATATAGTCTGATCTTTATATATTTTTCCAGCAAGATTAGGTCACCATTATGATAGCAGATTTTCATTGATGCATAAGGTACTTTAATTAGTCAAATTTTCTTGTAGCCACTGACTACTCTTGTTAGCTGGCATCGTGTGGTCTTTGCGTGTGAGAGGTTTTACCTCAAACAACATGTTCACCTTGGCTATCGACTGCTCTCTGCCATTTGTACCCTTTTGTTGCTCCCGTTGATCGTGCTTGTTCGTTTTTCCACCGTCATTATCGGCTGAATGGTCGTTCGCACTTCGCAGCAACTGCAGCGTAGAATTTTCAGATATTCCTTTTGAAAATTTTTATTTAGCACACCGTATATCAATGGATTTATAGCGCTACTTATAGTGGCTAAGAAGCTGTATGCAACATATGCCTCGCGAGGGAAGATCCAACGTCCAAGGACTGTATCCGTAATATCAATTACAAATATGGGCGTCCAACAGATGTTAAAAAACACCACTATTACAAATAATGTGCGCGCCACCTTAATCTCCTCTACGTTAACTGTATTTCTGGCATTGCGAGAGGTTTCGAAATTACT